GCTCTGCCCCCCAACTGCCCCTGCCCCCATTGCCCCTGCAGCGCACCCCCTCAACTCCCCTGCCCCCCACTGCTCTGCCCCCCAACTGCCCCTGTCCCCATTGCCCCTGCAGCGCACCCCCTCAACTCCCCTGCCCCCCACTGCTCTGCCCCCCAACTGCCCCTGCCCCCATTGCCCCTGCAGCGCACCCCCCAGCTGCCCCATCAGCTCCCCAGGGCCCCTTGCTCTGCACCCCAGCTCCCCGCAGCCCTCACCGTGCAGGGAGCCTCATGGATCGGGGCGGCCCGGGGCGCTCTCGGTCCCTCCCGGCTCCGGCGGCTGGTCGCCCCGTGCAGCCCGCACCGGCCCCAGGATACAGTGTAGCCGATGACAGGTGCGTCACGTCCGCCCGTCCCGGGAACCCGCCCCCAGCTGCGCCGCGCCGGCCGGCCCCCCGCTGCAGGGCCGGGGGCTCCGGGCGGGGTCCTGGGGGGCCCCGCTCCCCTGCAGCGCCCCCGGGGCTGGCTCTAGGACCCACGTGGCCAGCGTGTATCGCCCGCGGGCTTCGTTCTCGGGCCGCTGGGCGGGGCCCGCGCTGGTGGCTCTCTGGGGCCTGCAGCCACTGCCCCTGTTGGGGGGCCAGGGGCTGGGTGGGACCAGCTCCGGTGACTCGGGGGGGCACCCCTGGGAGGGACCGTGCAGCACCCTGTGGGGCTCCCCGGGCCCCTTGTAAGCCCTGGGCCCAGGCGCTCTCCACCCAGGGTGGCCCGTTGAGGTGGCTGTATTCCTGGAGGTTTCATCCCAAGCTAAAGGTTAATCTTTGGTTCCTGGAGACTCCAGGCCAATCCCAGGGGTTGGGAACCCCGGGGCATGGCAGGGCTGTGTCTCCTCTCTCCAGCCCTGCACCCAGGTCACTTTCACTCCCAGCATCTCCCTGGGGCTGGGTACCGGCCCCCCCCCGGGGACAGGCGCCTGTTTGACAGCAGCTCTCCCCCTAGGCCCTGCAGCTAGAGCAAGGGGCCCACGGGCGAGGGTGTGACCCCCGCCCAGTACCGATCAGTCACCGCGGGGGAAGGAGTCAGTCTGGGTATTGGTCTGGGCGTGTCCCGCTGTCTCTTGACAAGATCTAATTCCCTGCTGGGGCTTGTGCTGCCCCGTCCTGTGAGCCCCGGGCAGGTTCCGTGATCAGCTCTGGATGTGGCCGGGTTTGCTGGAAATCCCATGCTTGCAAAGGCGGGATTTCTGTAGAGCTCCCTCCCGGGGCGAGCTCTCTAGGGTCTCTAGCGGGCTCCCGGGGCGAGCTCTCTAGGGTTTCTAGCGTCTCTAGCGGGTTCCCGGGGCGAGCTCTCTAGGGTCTCTAGCGGGTTCCCGGGGCGAGCTCTCTAGGGTCTCTAGCGGGCTCCCGGGGCGAGCTCTCTAGGGTCTCTAGCGGGTTCCCGGGCGAGCTCTCTAGGGTTTCTAGCGGGTTCCCGGGCGAGCTCTCTAGGGTCTCTAGCGGGTTCCCGGGGCGAGCTCTCTAGGGTCTCTAGCGGGCTCCCGGGGCGAGCTCTCTAGGGTCTCTAGCGGGCTCCCGGGGCGAGCTCTCTAGGGTCTCTAGCGGGCTCCCGGGGCGAGCTCTCTAGGGTTTCTACTCTAGCGGGTTCCCGGGGCGAGCTCTCTAGGGTCTCTAGCGGGTTCCCGGGGCGAGCTCTCTAGGGTCTCTAGCGGGCTCCCGGGGCGAGCTCTCTAGGGTCTCTAGCGGGCTCCCGGGGCGAGCTCTCTAGGGTCTCTAGCGGGCTCCCGGGGCGAGCTCTCTAGGGTCTCTAGCGGGTTCCCGGGGCGAGCTCTCTAGGGTCTCTAGCGGGTTCCGGGGCGAGCTCTCTAGGGTTTCTAGCGGGTTCCCGGGGCGAGCTCTCTAGGGTCTCTAGCGGGTTCCGGGCGAGCTCTCTAGGGTCTCTAGCGGGCTCCCGGGCGAGCTCTCTAGGGTCTCTAGCGGGTTCCCGGGCGAGCTCTCTAGGGTCTCTAGCGGGCTCCCGGGCGAGCTCTCTAGGGTCTCTAGCGGGATCCCGGGCGAGCTCTCTAGGGTCTCTAGCGGGCTCCCGGGGCGAGCTCTCTAGGGTCTCTAGCGGGTTCCCGGGGCGAGCTCTCTAGGGTCTCTAGCGGGTTCCCGGGGCGAGCTCTCTAGGGTTTCTAGCGGGTTCCCGGGGCGAGCTCTCTAGGGTCTCTAGCGGGTTCCCGGGGCGAGCTCTCTAGGGTCTCTAGCGGGCTCCCGGGCGAGCTCTCTAGGGTCTCTAGCGGGTTCCGGGCGAGCTCTCTAGGGTTTCTAGCGGGTTCCGGGCGAGCTCTCTAGGGTCTCTAGCGGGCTCCCGGGCGAGCTCTCTAGGGTCTCTAGCGGGTTCCCGGGGCGAGCTCTCTAGGGTCTCTAGCGGGTTCCCGGGGCGAGCTCTCTAGGGTCTCTAGCGGGCTCCCGGGGCGAGCTCTCTAGGGTCTCTAGCGGGCTCCCGGGGCGAGCTCTCTAGGGTCTCTAGCGGGTTCCCGGGGCGAGCTCTCTAGGGTCTCTAGCGGGCTCCCGGGGCGAGCTCTCTAGGGTCTCTAGCGGGTTCCCGGGGCGAGCTCTCTAGGGTCTCTAGCGGGCTCCCGGGGCGAGCTCTCTAGGGTCTCTAGCGGGTTCCCGGGGCGAGCTCTCTAGGGTTTCTAGCGGGTTCCCGGGGCGAGCTCTCTAGGGTCTCTAGCGGGCTCCCGGGGCGAGCTCTCTAGGGTCTCTAGCGGGTTCCCGGGGCGAGCTCTCTAGGGTCTCTAGCGGGTTCCCGGGGCGAGCTCTCTAGGGTCTCTAGCGGGCTCCGGGCGAGCTCTCTAGGGTCTCTAGCGGGCTCCGGGCGAGCTCTCTAGGGTCTCTAGCGGGCTCCCGGGCGAGCTCTCTAGGGTCTCTAGCGGGCTCCCGGGGCGAGCTCTCTAGGGTCTCTAGCGGGCTCCCGGGGCGAGCTCTCTAGGGTTTCTAGCGGGCTCCGGGGCGAGCTCTCTAGGGTCTCTAGCGGGCTCCGGGCGAGCTCTCTAGGGTCTCTAGCGGGCTCCCGGGGCGAGCTCTCTAGGGTCTCTAGCGGGCTCCCGGGCGAGCTCTCTAGGGTCTCTAGCGGGCTCTCGGGGCGAGCTCTCTAGGGTCTCTAGCGGGCTTCCGGGGCGAGCTCTCTAGGGTCTCTAGCGGGCTCCCGGGCGAGCTCTCTAGGGTCTCTAGCGGGTTCCCGGGGCGAGCTCTCTAGGGTCTCTAGCGGGCTCCCGGGGCGAGCTCTCTAGGGTCTCTAGCGGGCTCCCGGGGCGAGCTCTCTAGGGTCTCTAGCGGGCTCCGGGGCGAGCTCTCTAGGGTCTCTAGCGGGCTCCCGGGGCGAGCTCTCTAGGGTCTCTAGCGGGCTCCCGGGGCGAGCTCTCTAGGGTTTCTAGCGGGCTCCGGGGCGAGCTCTCTAGGGTCTCTAGCGGGCTCCCGGGGCGAGCTCTCTAGGGTCTCTAGCGGGCTCCCGGGGCGAGCTCTCTAGGGTCTCTAGCGGGCTCCGGGGCGAGCTCTCTAGGGTCTCTAGCGGGCTCCCGGGGCGAGCTCTCTAGGGTCTCTAGCGGGCTCCGGGCGAGCTCTCTAGGGTCTCTAGCGGGTTCCCGGGGCGAGCTCTCTAGGGTTTCTAGCGGGTTCCCGGGGCGAGCTCTCTAGGGTCTCTAGCGGGCTCCCGGGGCGAGCTCTCTAGGGTCTCTAGCGGGCTCCCGGGGCGAGCTCTCTAGGGTCTCTAGCGGGCTCCGGGGCGAGCTCTCTAGGGTCTCTAGCGGGCTCCGGGGCGAGCTCTCTAGGGTCTCTAGGGGCTCCGGGGCGAGCTCTCAGGTCTCTAGCGGGCTCCCGGGCGAGCTCTCTAGGGTCTCTAGCGGGCTCCGGGGCGAGCTCTCTAGGGTCTCTAGCGGGCTTCCGGGCGAGCTCTCTAGGGTCTCTAGCGGGCTCCCGGGGCGAGCTCTCTAGGGTCTCTAGCGGGCTCCCGGGGCGAGCTCTCTAGGGTCTCTAGCGGGCTCCCGGGGCGAGCTCTCTAGGGTCTCTAGCGGGCTCCCGGGGCGAGCTCTCTAGGGTCTCTAGCGGGCTCCCGGGGCGAGCTCTCTAGGGTCTCTAGCGGGTTCCCGGGGCGAGCTCTCTAGGGTCTCTAGCGGGCTCCCGGGGCGAGCTCTCTAGGGTCTCTAGCGGGCTCCCGGGGCGAGCTCTCTAGGGTCTCTAGCGGGCTCCCGGGGCGAGCTCTCTAGGGTCTCTAGCGGGTCGCTGTCAACAGCGCCCAGGGACAGGTCCCGTGTCCGCCGGGGCCGGACCTCCGGCCGCAGGGGGCGCTCTCGGGAGCGGAGCCAGCTCCGGCCGGCGGGGGCGCCGCCTTTTCGCCCCGCTCGCTCCGCCGGTTCCTCGGCGAGCGGCCCAGGAAGTGTCCGGCGAGGGGGCGCTGCGAGGCCTGGCTCCGGCCGCAGGTGGGTGCGCGGCCCCGGCCCGGCCTCCGCGCCCCTCCCCCTCGGGGGGTCCCCGCCCTTCGGCCCCCCTTCTCCCCCCCCGCCCTGGGGGGTCCCCCCGGCCCCCCTTTTCCCGCCCGCCCTGGGGGGGTCCCCTCCCCCCGGCCCCCCTTCTCCCCCCCCGCCCTGGGGGGTCCCCCGCCCCCTTCCCCCCCGGCCCTGGGGGCCCCCTTCCCCCCCGGCCCTGGGGGTCCGTCCCCCCGGCCCCCCTTCTCCCTCCCCGCCCCCGGCCCTGGGGGGTCCCCCCGGCCCCCCTTCTCCCCCCGGCCCCCCTTCTCCCCCCCCGCCCTGGGGGGTCCCCTTCTCCCCCCCGGCCCCCCTTCTCCCCCCCCGCCCTGGGGGGGTCCCCGTCCCTGCCCCAATGGGGGGTGTCTGAGGAAGCTCCCCATCTTCTGCCCCAAGAGCCCCCCTGGCGCCTGCCTGAGAAGCCCCCGGCCCCACCCCCACGACAGTGGCTGCTCCCCCCTTCCCTGGGCAGGGGCCCCCGGCCCGGGCCCCCCCCATCCAAGAAGCCGCTGCTCCAGCACCTGTGCCTGGGGGGGACCTGCCCCTTCTCCACAGTCGCTACGGGCCCAGCCGTGCCCCCGGCCAGGGGGGAGCCTGGTTCCCGCAGCGTCACCTTCTGCTCTGCGCTTCAGGGGCCCCGCTCCCGGGGGCAGTGGCGGGGTCCAGGCTTGTCAGAGTGGGCGGAGGGGGGCCGCTCAGGGTGCGTTCACTGAGCTCCGCCTCCTCACACCTTCTGTTTCTCACGTGGCTGCTTTGCAACACCTCTTTCCTCTCTCGACCAGCCTCGGGTGGGACTCAGCCTGCCCCTTGAGGGAAAAGGCCTTGCTGTGCATCTACACCAAGCAGCAGGCTGAGGTTAGTTCATGCCCCCGACCCATTTTTCTGGTGTAGACGAGCTCTTAAAACTGTGAACGCTGTGTATGAAATCCATGTGTTCCTCCCCGTGCAAATATATAGACTTGTTTGTCAAATATCCACTGAAGAATTTCAGCTGGTCTCAGACTGTAAAGAGATTGAGTCACACTGCAAAAAGAAAAGGAGGACTTGTGGCACCTTAGAGACCAACATCCGATGAAGTGAGCTGTAGCTCACGAAAGCTTGTGCTCTCATAAATTTGTTAGTCTCTAAGGTACCACAAGTCCTCCTTTTCTTTTTGCGGATACAGACTAACACAGCTGCTACTCTGAAATGAGTCACACTGGATAGTCCTGTATTGTGTATATTGCATGTTTGCAAGGTTGCCGTGGGACAGCCCCACGGGTCGAGTATTTGGTGAAAAGGGATACTGGTATCATGCTTCATCAGCAGTTACTTGTTTCCTGTTTCATAGTTTGTGTGTGGTTGTCACTGAGACCCTATTGATCTCTTTAATATTAGAAGATGGTACAGCTGTCATTTTAGTGATTTTATCTTTACTCATCTGTTAACTGATGTCTGGTGGTAATAACCCACAATGTCTGTAGATGCCATATACAGATATATCCACTTTAATGGTTCCCAGAGATTCTGTTTTAAACAGGTTTGTCTTTGTTGTAATGTCCTATACTTTTAAAGTTATAAATAAATAGGAAATGTATCTCTTTTTAATGCTTCATGTTTCCCATCTGTAAAATGCTGATAGCGATACATTCTTTTTTCGACCCTTTGTCTTGTCTGAGTTGACTGTAAACTCTTTGCAGTGGGGATTCTTATGACATGTTCATATAGTCCTTAGCACAAGGGGGCCCTCATATTGCCAGGGACCTCTATGGGCTTCTGTAATACTAATGATATTTTTTAACTGCAGTGAAAGGACTATGGCGTCAGAGCAAACCAAGGATGAGGTGCCAGTTCCTGAGAAATCCACTGCTGGCCAGCTGGCCCCGCGAGAATCAGACCCATACAAAGAACTTGACAGTTTGCCTGTGAGGTAGGGTGTAGGGGTGTGTGTGTGTATGTGTCAGGTCGCTCGCTGATGGTTTGTGCACAAAATCAATCAAATGGTTCCTTTGAATGGCCTCTTACTTCTGCAAAAGCAGCACGGACCTTAGTGGCAGAAGTCTAATGTGTTGTTAACTTATTGAACTAGTTTGTTTTAAGACAGCATATGGAGGGCATAGACAGTGGGGGAAAACTGAAGACCATTTCTCTACTAGTCCTCTTCTCCCTACAGCCCAGTGATGGGTATGGTGTTCTAGTTGTAGATTCTGAGTGAAAGTTTCTAAAATCCCTACCAGCAAAGAGAATGGAACCAATTAAAGAGTGTACGATAAATAGAGCAAATGTGGGAGCGTGGCCTAATGGTAACTTGGGTCTCCTTGGTCTGAGATTTTGGCTCTGCCACAGACTTGCCGTGTGGGCTTGGATAAGTTGCTTCTCCTCTATCTCAGTTTCCCCATCTGTAATATGAGAACATTGAACTACCGCACAGGTTGATTGTGGGATATACTTTTTAAAGCACTTATTTAGAGACTTGGGTGAAAGATGCAATCGGAATGCAAAGTATGGATTAGTATCTGTTTCTTTTGAATAGCATAAGTGACCTTTCTATACAAGAAAATGAGAATGATCCCCTATCATTGGAAGCTGCCGATCATAGCCAACCAATAACAAGTGAGAGTACAGGAGATGCTCATTCAGGAGGAGCAGAAAGTGATCCTGGGATATTGCTGACTGATGCATCACTGCTGGCTGCAGAGAACAAAGGAGAAGAACCTATGCCCAGAGCGGTAGGACACTCTGGTGCTGTTTCCAGAGAGACGCAGGCGTGTTCCTCAAATGAAGAGCTTTATCAGTCTGGTTCAGAGGGTTCAGACAGTGCGGTGGAAGAAGAAAGAACCTTGCTGACTGGGGAAAATCTGCAAACAGTTTCTCTGCACTTCCAGGTTGATGTCCATGCAGAACAGCAATATGCTACCAATAATTGCTCTGAAGGTGAACTGGAAGCTTCACACTTGCAGCAGGCCAGAGGGGATAGGGGTCTGGAGCTGGATAGTAAACCCCTGAAAGTGCCACCAAATGGGGAGAATGGGATTGAAAACAGCAGAGTTGCGCAGGACTCAGATCAGAAAGCTTCATCCCAGAAGCCCTCTCAGAACATTGCAGTGCAGGTCAGGTACCAGTTTCCTTATGTTCATGAAGCTTGAGTTTTCTCTAGCTTGGGTTTTTTGATTGGGGGGGGAGGGGGAGGGGGCAGTGTTGCGGAGGTGGAAGACAGAAGCACTGATTCCCAACTGAGAGCCTGCTGTGTGCACCAGGCAAGCTCTTCTGGTTTTCTGGTTGTTTTGTTTGTTTCAGGCAAGTAAATGCTTAATAGCTCCATAGGGCCTTTTAATCCACCAATCCACAGTATGTGATGTGGCAGAGGATCCTGCTGGAACTCTTCCTAGAGACAGGATCCCTTTTAAAATCCAGTAATCTTCTTAGGTTTGGAACAATCCTTGTTGTCCTTTGCCAAAACGTTCATGCGATATATGCCTCTTGTAGCAGGAAGAATTAAAGCTTCTGTGTCTATTCTGAATGGTTTCTGATTTCCCTGGTTTGTAGAGGTCATTTTCTAGGCTCCCTGGAAGGGCTCTTTCCTTGGTAGGGTGTTACAGATGTCAGCTATTTTGTAGGAGGGAAGGATGTGAGAATGGCAGATAGCATAGTAATGAGTGAAATGAACTGCAGGCATTCCCGATACAAAGCAATACATGCCTCTGTACCTCGTAAAATCAGTTACAGTATGTGCGTATTGTCTTTTGTAAACAAAAAAGAGGGTGGGGGAATTATGAGCACCAACTGATGTGAGCACTGAGTCTGGTCCCAGTCGTGCTGCCCGGTTGTCTAATGTTTCTTCAAGGCTGATGAATGAAATGGTGTCAGGGCTGGCTCAGGAGACAACTAAAAGTTCCTCTAAAAGTGGGAACTGTTTGTGCATGAAACTATTGCTTGCACCTCCAAAGAGCTCTAACACAAGTAATCATTTCTACCTTTGCAGACTGACTTCAAGACTGCTGACATGGAGGTGAACACAGATCAAGATATTGAAAAGAACTTGGTGAGTACAATACTAAAGAACAGCCAGTCTTGTGATTAGAACAGGGGACTACTTCTCAAATTCCTGGGTTCCGATCACAGATCTTTTACTAACTCTGTCACTGGGCAAGTTACTCAGGCCTGAGGAGGCCTCCATTCTCTGTTATCAGGGTTTCCAACTCAGTGAAGTCAGTGGGAACTCAGGATCCCAACGGGACCACTGAAAATGAGGCCCTAAATCCTCTCTGTTTACTTACAGGTAAAATGACATTGGGTGTGTCTATACTGCAGTGTAGCTCCGGATTCAGGCTCAAGCCTAGCCCCCTTCTGTCTAAGCACAAATCATGCTAACTCAGGGTCCCGGGACCCCATAAGGTGGTGGGTCTAAGCCAGGACCCAGGGTTCAAGCCCTGTTGTTTTTCTTACAATATGATACCTTGGACCTACCTTTATTTCACTTTGGCCACAAGGCTGTTGAAATACCACTGACTTATTTCTTTCCAAATCTCCCTCACCCTTGCTCTTTTTGAGCTCCTTTGTTCCCAAAGAGTTTGACATGAATTGTCATAGCACTCGTGTTAGGTTGGGAAACGTTAATATCGTATAAAGAACAGGAGGACTTGTGGCACCTTAGAGACTAACAAATTTATTTGAGCATAAGCTTTCGTGAGCTACAGCTCACTTCATCGGATGCATCATCACTTTGTACTGCATGACAGGTCTGTCTGTATCATTCTCTTTGATGCAGTAGGTGAGAGGAAACATTTACCTACACGTTTGTCCATTACAGGGCAAAATGATGTCTGAGAGGGCTTTGTTGAAGGAACGTTACCAGGAAGTGCTAGACAAACAGAGGCAGGTGGAGAATCAACTCCAGGTGCAGCTCAAGCAGCTCCAGCAACGTCGGGAAGAAGAGATGAAGAATCACCAGGTATCAGATGAAGCACTTTTTCTCTCAACATCCAGCCTGCCCAGCACCATTCACAATTGTACTGCTAAACTGGGGTAATCCAGTGCTATGCTGCAGAGCACAAGATGCTGCTTGGAGAGGTCAGGCAGGGATTTCTCTTATGGGGAACATAGCACAACTTGCCAAGTGTGTGGGGATTCTTCTAAGCATCAGATATTGGTCACGGCGAGAGTCAGGGCTAAGGACTTGTTTAGATGTCGACTTTTCCAAATCTTTAATTATGTAACTACATCTGAATAAACAGCATGTCGTGGTCAGGTCCCTTCCCGTTCATGATTTCCTAACATCCCCATGACAACAACAGCAATAGCACTAGGGAAGTGTTTCATGTATGAATCACAGGAGCTGGGAACAAGGAGAGTTAGCACTGTGTGACCAGTGTGGCCTGCAGCTTGAGAGCCATTGGATTAGACCAGTGGTTCTCAGCCTCTTCTTCCATACTGTGACCCCTTGTCAGAACAGAAAAAAGCTTCAGCACATCCTCTCAACTAGATTTAAAGAAAGGGAGGAAGGTTATTAACCCCTGACACCTGTTTGTGAACCCCCCACTCCTCCCTGCACGAAAACCTGTGACGTAGACCACTCATCTGTCATGTACAGCAGATTCTAGTTTCCTGTTCATAAGTCTCAGCCCATTGCCTCGCTTAACTAATGTTCTAACATTAATCTTTTAAAACCCTTTTGTGGCACATTTAATTGTGTGCATAATTACTTGTACCAAGTTCAGAATTTAAAAAAACAATCTTGTGGTGAGCTTATGTTCTTTATTTGCTTGGTGGTGGCTATACT